CCCCAAAACCCCAAAACCCCAAAACCCCAAAACCCCAAAACCCCAGGGCTATCAGAGAAAATTGAATGGTTAGATTATGGTCTTGATTTCATCAACTTAGTCTTGTATAACTTCAGTTTAAACTATATTTGAAACAAGATGAAATACATCTTTGATTGCTTCTTTCAATCTCTCTTGACTTTGATTAAGTTCTAACGAAGTGAAACATCAAATTACTTCAACCACTGGATAACTCTATTTTCTTGATCGACTTGGTTAATAAAGGAGATGTAACATTAAATATTTCAGGGTTTCTGAAGGTCCTAAATAGTATTTAATGTATAAACTCAGAAGTTCCAAAGGGTATTAACGTAATTACTTTAAGCTTTTAGAGCTATTCTCTCTGCTAACTTTCTTCTGTTGATAGTAGCTTCCATTAAGATCAATATCCCTTGCTCTCCACATTCTGAATGTTTTTATATTCTTAATGACAGAGCTTTTGTTAAAATGAAGGGTTCCTCTTGATTTACTTTTGAACAGCTATTTAAAGATTAAATACTTTTATTCTTTAAAATTTATTCTGAGTTTGAATAGAGAACAAGTTAGCTTTATACATTAGACTTACTCTTTGTTTTCTTATTTCAACTTTAGTTCCAATCTGGTTGGACTGAATTCTTCATTCTCATGCAAAAGAAGGAGAGTGGATTACATCCATCGAATTAGATCTGAAATCTGATTTTTTGATTTGGAGAATTTTATCATGGTCTATTCTTTCTCATGCACAAGGTTTTATTTCCCCAAGATAGTCTTCTTTCTTGGTGCTTGAACTTGTCTTGATTTGACGTTTAAACTATGCATGAATTAGAAATAGAAAATTTATGTTTACTTCAAAGATTAACGAATAAAAAGTCAAATACCTTATTAAAAGTCTTTGCTATGAAAAATGTTTGGCGATAATCAGGAGGGATCTTAGCTTCCTTCTGAAGCCCTGGTAAACTTCCATTATTTTGCTTTGTACTTGGAAAATTAAGTAAATTGAGTAATTGCATTTCTCGCCTACGATCAACTCTACTAATAGACTTCTGGATGGAGACTTTAGAATAGGCAGGATTGCGCTTATCTTTTCTAATATTCATCTAAAAGTTATCTGTCTTCCTACTATTTGCTTGACTTCTCTTCTATCATATACATCTTCAAGATTCTAGAGTTGGAAAAATGAGTTACCTTATTTAAGAGCATTATTATACTTAATCCAATTCTCTTCAGCTATTTTATGTAAGTTCTTATTTAGTGTGGGACTTTGAATATATCAGAAGATGTCTAAAGTCATAGAATATCTCACCTTCTTTTGACATTACAAGTAACTTGGCTGTTGGGGATACTCACTTAAGAGATACGAATCGTTCTTTAATGTCAAACATTACTTCTTCAGCTCCTATAATTGCATAAGGATTCAGAACACAGATATTGAAATTGACTCTTTTAGGAATGCTTTTATTTAAGGAGGTGTGTATCACTTCTGGTTGAAGATCCTCCATACAGAATATCTTCTTTCCTATTCCCTCTTTTATCAAAATAGTATTCGTTCCAATTAGGATTGCAATCAGTAAGATATCAGTCTCTTTGGGCTTTTGCCATATGTAGGAGGTCTTTAGACCGCTTAATAAATTCATGAAAAGATTTATTCTGCTCTGATACTGGAACTAAGTCGTAGGTAATAGTATCTTTGTCAACACCGTCCTTTATCTGAGCTTTCTTGGTTACTTCTATCTGTCCTTCTAGCAGAAAGTATATTTTTGAAATAGAAGGATCGGCTGCGGATGAGTACAAAATTTACATATTTTCTGACCTTTGACAAATCTTTCCTCTTTCATAAATTTGAAGATTTCACTTTGATAGTTATTTTCGGAATTGCCTGGGGTTCAGACCCTGATACTTACTTGAATATGTTGAAATGATTCATTATTTGAATATGTCTGTTGTTATTTCTCAACCTACAGCAGTTATCTCCTAAAATTACCTGACTCTTTTTCAGGATTCTTATGAAAGAGAGGTTGTCTAGTACCGCTAAATATGTTTCACTTTGGGTATACACGCTTGAAAAATATGGTTTGCGTGTGATCAGGGTGAAAACACCAAGTTCAGACCCATCTGAATGAGTCTGTAACTTTTTAATATATTCTATCTCATAATATTTGGTTTCTTCAGATTTATTTATGACTGAGTTAAGTTGCTTGAGAGATGTTTTAGATTTCTTTGATGGCCTTCTAAGTTTTTTCTTTGATGTTTCCTCTGTTTCCTGCTTTATCTCTACAATAATAGTTTCAAATAATATTAGTTCAAATAGCTTACCGTCATTCTTTATATCAGGAGAGGCTCTAAAAGTAAAGTTTATACCTACCTGAGGTAGCTTTTTATGTTTTCTCCAAATTGTTGTTGGCTACAAAATGATATATCCAAAATACTATTTCATAAGCTGTTCTTTAACAAATTCCTGATCAGGAAGAGTGAAATCAATGCTCCCATTGATTTTGGTAATAGAGCTAAGCATGAAGAGCAGGTCTTACTCCCTGTATTCATCAATGAACTGGAAGTATTCAAACATTGTCATCTCTTTAGCTAGAAGAAGAGGGACCTCACTTATGGCCTTTCCAGAAATGATTATATAGAACTTATCGCCTCTGTCTCCTTGCTTGTAAATATATTGATTGTCAGGGATTATTTCTAGCTTCATAGATCTAGCACAATCACTACAAATCATATCAATAAATTACTGAATTAAATTATTTCTGCTTGGATTTAACGTATTCTTGGAAGAACTTATTTTTCTGCCAGCATGTTAGAGATCTTAGTTATATCAAAATTATTTCTTGTAGAAGGATCTAAATGTAAAAGTTTACACTACCTTTCTTCAACAAGTTAATAATGTCTTTCTCTGTATAGCTGAGACTTCTTTTGATAGCTGATATATTGAGTTTATTTAAGAAGATTGTCAGCCATTTGAGAGTTCCTCTTGAAAGCTTCCCTTGCATTAAAATTAAACACTTTTGCTTTGAACTTAGAGAAACTTGCATCTTTAGGCAAAGATGGCTTGTGCTTTACTATGATTTCACTGTTGCTTGAAGCGAAGGAGGAGCTAGCCTGGTGAAAAAGAACTTACTCTGATTTCTCAGTAACTTCTTCAATCTGGGTGTTGATCTCCATTTTATTTATTTCAGTTAGGATTATACAGAAGGGGTTTTGGGGTTTTGGGGTTTTGGGGTTTTGGGG